CACTGGCCCCTCCCCCTCCATTGGCTCCTCCCCTTCCCCCCTTCCCCTCCCCTGGCTCCTCCCCCTCCCCCTGGCTCCTCCCCCTCCCCTGGATCTTCCCCTTGGTTCCTCCCCCTGGCTCCCTCCCCCTGGCTCCTCCCCCTGGCTCCTCCCACTGGCTCCTCCCCCTCCCCATTGCTCCTCCCCCTCCCCCTGGCTCCTATCCCCTGGCTCCTCCCCTTGGCCCCTCCCCCCTCCCCCTGGCTCCCTCCCCCTGGCTCCCTCCCCCTGGCTCCTCCCCCTGGCTCCTCCCCCTCCCCATGGCTCCTCCCTCTCGCCTGACTCCTCCCCATCCCTGGCTCCTCCCCCTCCCCCAGCTCCTCCCCCTCCTCCTGGTCCCTTACCCTGGCTCCTTCCCCTTCCCCCGGCTTGTCCCCGGGATCCGTTACTATAAAGCGCTCTGAGACGCCGTCTGGCGTGGAGGGCACTATATACGTCCAATTGTTGAACGTTCCTGAGCTGCCATTTCTCTGCTAACAGTGAATCAACCTCATTGCTCTTCACTGATCCTCATTTGTATAATGAGCGTAAATGAATGGATGTGACAAAGAGAGAGAAATAACGTTGGTGAGAAATAAACTTCAAGCTGCCACATGGGGTTATGATGTAGTGGCAATAATGGAAACATGGCTCAAACAAGGGCAGGAATGGGAGCTGAATATTCCTGCCTACAATGTATTCAGGGGAATAGGGAGGAGAATAAAGGAGGGGGTGGCAATATTGATTAAACACACATTTACAGCTCTGGAAAGGGACGGTGTGCTCGAGGGTCCAAAAACAGAATGTATTTGGTTAGAGTTAAGGAGCGGAAAAGGAGCTGTTACTCTATTAAGTGTATATTACAGACCAATAAATAGTGGGAAGGTAATAGACAAGCAAATCTGCAGAAAGATGCAAAACCAATAGAGTGGTGATAATGGGGGACTTCAATTATTCTAACGTAGACTGGGAATCACACAGTGTAAAGGGCAAGGAGGGGAGAGGATTCCTGAAATGTGTGCAGGATAACCTTCGGGATCAGTATGTTTCCAGCCCAACGAGGAAGGAAGCAGTGCTGGATCTAGTCCTAGGGAATGATGTGGGGCAAGTGGAGCAGGTTTCAGTAGGAGAGCATCTGGACAACAGTGATCACAACATCATTAGGTTTAAAGTACTTATGGAAAGGGATGAGGACCAATCAAAGGTGAAGATACTCAACTGGAAGAGGTGAATTTCAATGAGTTCAAAAGGGACCTCGCTAAGGTGGACTGGAAAGGAAGATTGACAGGTAAAACAGCTAACGAGCAGTGGGAAGTCTTCAAGGAGGAGATAGTTCGGGGACAGAACAAATACATTCCCACAAAGGGGAAAGGAGGGCTTCCAAACTTCCCTGGATGAATAATGAAATTGGGATTAAAATGAAACAGTAAAAGGAGGCTTATGATAAATGTCAGGTCCAAAATACAGAAGATAATCAAATTGAATACAGGAAGTACAGAGGAGAACTGTGAAAAGAAAGAAGAGATGCAAAGAGATTGCATGAGAAAAGATGAGCGGGTAACATAAAAGGGAACCCTAAGGTATTTTATAATCATATAAAGAATAAAAGGTAAGTCAACCTTTTGGGTTCAATTAGGAACTAAAGAGGAAATCTTCTTGTGGAGGCGGAGGGCACGGCTGACGTACTGAATGAGGACTTTGCATTTGTCTTCACAAAAGAAGAGGATGCAGCCAATGCCACAGTATCGGAGGAGACGGTAGAGAAATTGAATAAATTCAGAATAAACTGACAGGAGGGACTAAGAAGGTTGTCGGTGCTCAAGGTGGATAAGTCACCCGGTCCGGATGGGATGCATCCTCGGTTACTGAGGGAAGTAAAGCTGGAAATAGCGGAGGCTCTGGGCACAATCTTTCAATTCTCCTTGGACACTGGGAGGTGCCAGAGGACTGGACAGTTGTAAATGTTACTCCCCTATACAAAAAGGGGCAGAAGGATAAACCCGGGAACTACAGGCCAGTCAGCTAGACGTCAATATTGGGGAAACTTCTAGAGACTATAATTCAGCACAAATTAAATTTTCACTCAGAAAAATATGGGTTAATAAAGGACAGTCAACATGGATTTGTTAAAGGCAACAACAACAAACAACAGAATTACATTTATAGAGCGCCTTTCATGTTGGGAGGATGTCCCAAAGCACTGAACAGTCTGGTGTCATGGCCCGAGCATGGGGGAGGGGTGGTGTAGGGGTGAGGGAAGGCAGAGAGGTGGGAGGGCGACCAAAGGCACGGTCAAAGAGAAGGGTCTTGAGATCGGCCTTGAAGGAGGCGAGGGAGGAAGCGAGGCGAAGGGACTGTGGGATGGAGTTCCAGAGTGTGGGGGCGGAGAGGCTGGAAGCCCGGCCACCGATGGTAGGGCGGGTCGGGCGGGAGCCATGAAGCAGGCTGGAGCCTGCTGAACGGAGGGAGCGGGCAGGTTGGTAGGGAGTCAGCAGGTCAGAGAGGTAGGAGGGGGCAAGGCCATGGATGGCCTTAATGGTGAGGACGAGGATCTTGAACTCGATCCTCTGGGGGATGGGGAGCCAGTGGAGTCGGGCGAGGGTGGGAGTGATGGGGTCACGGAGGCTGGTGTGTGAGAGTACACGAGCTGCAGAGCTTTGGATGATCTGCAGCTTGTGAAGGGAAGAGTTGGGAAGGCCGATGAGGAGGGAGTTTCCATAATCGAGCCTTGAAGTGACGAATGTGTGGGTGAGGGTTTGGGGCCCTGAGGGGTGAGGCAGTGGCGGAGTCTGGCAATGTTGCGGAGGTGGTGGTAGGCAGTGCCGGTCATGGAGCGGATGTGGGGGAGAAAGGACAGTTCAGGGTCAAACAAGACCCCCAGGTTCCTGACAGGCTCAGTGAGGTTGAGTGTGCAGCCGTGGAGGCTGATGCTGCCAGTGCCCGAGGTACGGAGGCGCTGGCGTGAGCCAATCAGGAGAGCCTCGGTCTTGCTGACGTTGAGTTGGAGAAAGTTGTCCCTCGTCCAGGACTTGATGTCGAACAGGCAGTCGGTCAGGACCCCAGTAGTCCTGGAGTTCAGGGTGGAGGCAGAGAGGTAGAGTTGGGTGTCACCCGCATACATGTAGAAATTTCCCCCATGTCTGTGGATGATGTCACCAAGGAAGAGCATGTAGAGGGTGAAGAGGAGGGGACTGAGGTCAGAGCCCTGAGGAACACTGCACAAGACGGGGCGGGGGCTGGAGGAGAAGCTGTTTGCCGCGACGAAGTGGAGGCGGTGTGAAAGGTAAGACCTGAACCAGTCAAGGACAGAGCCTTGAAGGTTGTGGTGGGAGGAGGAAGATTGAGTGGTCCACGGTGTCAAAGGCAAATCATGTCTAACAAACTTAATAAGAGTTTTTTGATGCAGTAACGGAGAGGGTGGATGAAGGCAGTGCAGTTGGTGTAGTTTATATGGATTTCCAAAAGCCGTTTTGATAAAGTGCCACATAAGAGACTTGTAAGTAAAATCGAAGCCCACGGTATTAAAGGGACAGTGGCAGCGGATACAGAACTGGGAGACAGAGAGCAGAGAGTGTGGGGAACGGTTGTTTTTCTGACTGGAGGGAAGTGCAGTGGTGACCCCCAGGGGTCGGTATTGGGGCCACTGCTGTTTATGATCTATATAAATGACCTGGACTGGGGTACAGGGAGGACAATTGTCAATTTTGCAGATGATACAGAGCTAGGCGGGGGCTAACCTGCCCCAAGTTAATCCAAAACTTGGCCGTCGCACACTCACACAAAGTAAACTCCTTACCTGCATCACACCAGTTCCAGCCAGGCTCCACTCTGGCTCTGATTAACCAAACAGATCGATTTCAAGATCCTCACGCTTGTCTTCAAATCTCTTCATGTTCTGGCACCTCCCTATCTCTCCAACCTGCTTATCCCCCAACCCATTGCCTCCGCTCAACTGGCTCTTGCCCCACATACCACCATTGCTGGCTGCGCTTTCAGTCACTATGCCCTGAAACTCTGCAATACTCTTCCGCTTTCCCTCTGCCTTGCCCCCTCTTTCCCCAACTTCAGGGGTTGTCTGAGGACCTTCAACTTTGACCATGCCTACGGTCGCCTCCCCACTCCCCCCGGCTCGGTGTCGTGCTCTGCCATTGTCATGCGCTCTGGGACACTGCCCTGCATGAGGGGACTATATAAATGCAAGTTGTTGTTGTTAAAGATCCCAAGGCACAGCTCAAAAAGAGAAGCAAGTTTCTCCCAGACTCCTGGTCAACAATAAATTTTGCCATTCACTTTACAGGTGTTTGTGGGTCATTGTTGTGTGCAAATGGACACCTACAGTCACTGACCATTACAGTGTGATCCTGTGAAGGACTGAGAAACCCTCCCACTGGAAAAGGCACTGCATCAAATGCAAGAATTATTATTAATATCTCTGGAAAAGTGATCAACAATGCGCCAATCGATTAACAAGCAGGTTCCTACTTATTGCTAGGTAAACAGGGATGTGTGGAGTAAGGAAACTTGCCTAGCGTTTTGCCCTGTCACACCCGGGAATCAAACCCAGGTCCTCTTGCTTGCGAGGCGAGCGATCTAACCAATACACTACAGGACTCCACTGTGCTGTGGGCAAGTAGGGAATGGAGGGAGAGGTGTGAGCGAAGCGTTCCAGAATTTTAGCAAGGAAAGGCAGGATCTAAACAGGGAACTCTGCCTAGCTTGGGTTCTCATGAGCATTGTGTGCCATGTGGTGTCAGGCTGACCAAACAACATGTAGGATTAGGAAAACCCAGACCACCCGCCTCCCGGTGAGACCAAATGTAACAAACTGTGAGACTCGGTTAATCCTCTCGTTCTGGAGCCCCCCTTTCCCCCCTCCACCCCCCCCCCCCTCCCCCCCCCCCGGCACGAGGACAGCCTCACACATTCGGTAAATGCCCTTGAGTTGTGGTCTGGTCACTGACCTCCACACTTTCACTTCCCCTTTGATTTGTTTTGCTCTGTTTTTTCCAACCAATTTTCTCCTGTTATGAAGGAGATTGACTTATTGTTTCTTCCACAGGAGGATAGTGGCGCAGGGTCCGTGGCCAAGTTGCTGATACTCTTGTGTTAGTCAGTCAGCTGAGCAGTGAGAGCCCTCGGGAACCTGCCTTGACTCTGCTCGGGAGTTACTAGTTTCAGATTTTCAGTGTTTGCAGTTTTTGTGTGTGAGCCAAGAAATATTGATGTAGTTGATTGATTCAGTTCTGGTTTGTGACATTGCAGCAGTTCGCTAGTTTCTTCACAGCTCTGCGTTTAAAGTCGATTGCTCCCCTTTCTTTTACAGCTAAGGAATATTCGTGCTCCTTGAGCTTGGTGTAATAGTCAGAGAATTTGTTAAACAGGATGGAGATCGGCATGCCATTCAGGATGATCCCAAAGGAAATGCACCCGAATGCCACAATCCGGCCCAGCAGGGTTTCTGGTGTTGTGTCTCCATAGCCTACAGTTGAGATGCTAACCTGAAGGGATACAAGAGTTTGTTGATAATCTAACTCTTATCTACTGTACAAAGCCAGACTATTAGTTTCCCAGTCGCTCTGCCAATCAGGGCAAGTGGAGCTTCATTTAGACCCTGGCACAGGGCATTCTCTGTCATTCTCACCCCGTGATGAGACCTGATGCAGATCAGTGATTATATTCATCGCCTCAAGTGGGAATCCATTCCAAATTCTTGCCATCATCTGAACGAAAATATTACTGCTAATCTCTCCTATTTCAGACCATCAAACCTGTTGCTTCATTAGATCAGAGCAGATCCTTTAACCCCATTTCCCTGCCTGATCTCTCCACCACTTTGGAACTTGATTTCACATGAACTTCTTAAAACTAAAACAAAACAACGTCTAGAGTTTCAGGCCGACGAGAACCACAATGGCCACCGAGGCTGGAATGTCGGTACCTGCTCCTCAATCTAAACGTCAAAACAATCACTCTCCCCTCTCTGTTCACTAAAATTATCATCTAAACCTTCCCAGCTGACAGATCTCGGCACATGTGAAGCCCCTCTCCCCCTCTCTCATAAACAAGATCCAAAAAAGGTCTTTCCCACGAGCACAAAATATACAGCAACTTGTGAGGTACCATCACAGCTCAGTGTCTCTCAGCGCTGCACCGAGGGCACAGCTGGAGACCACGCCACGGGGGGGGGGGGGGGGTGGGGGGGTGGGGTGGGGGGGGGGGGGGGACCATTGGTTGAAGTTGGTCTTGAGATGGTTAAGGGATTGAAAGACAGATAACAGAAACATAGACAGATACAAAGACACCACACACACAGCCCCCACCACACACACAGCCCCCACCACACACACAGCCCCCACCACACACACAGCCCCCACCACCACACACACAGCCCCCACCACACACACAGCCCCCACCACCGCAACCACAGACCCCACCACACACACAGCCCCCACCAGACACACAGCCCCCACCACCACACACAGCCCCCACCACATACACAGCCCCCACACACACACAGCCCCCACCACATACACAGCCCCCACCACACACACAGCCCCCACCACACACACAGCCCCTACCACCACAACCACAGCCCCCACAACCACAGACCCCACCACACACACAGCCCCCACCACCGCAACCACTGCCCCCACCACACATACAGCCCCCACCACATACACAGCCCCTACCACCGCACACAGCCCCCACCACCGCACACAGCCCCCACCACACACACAGCCCCCACCACACACACAGCCCCCACCACCACACACAGCCCCCACCACCACAACCACAGCCCCCACCACCACAACCACAGACCCCACCACCACACACAGCCCCCACCACCGCACACAGCCCCCACCACCACACACAGCCCCCACCACCACAACCACAGACCCCACCACCACACACACAGCCCCCACGACCACACACACAGCCCCCACCACCACACACACAGCCCCCACCAGATACACAGCCCCCACCACATACACAGCCCCCACCACCACACACAGCCCCCACCACCACACACAGCCCCCACCACATACACAGCCCCCACCACCACACACAGCCCCCACCACCGCAACCACAGCCCCCACCACCACACACAGCCCCCACCACCGCAACCACAGACCCCACCACCGCACACAGCCCCCACCACCACAACCACAGACCCCACCACCACACACACAGCCCCCACCACCACACACAGCCCCCACCACACACACAGCCCCCACCACACACACAGCCCCCTCACCACACACAGCCCCCACCACATACACAGCCCCCACCACACACACAGCCCCCACCACATACACAGCCCCCTCACCACACACAGCCCCCACCACACACACAGCCCCCACCACACACACAGCCCCCACCACCACACACAGCCCCCACCACACACACAGCCCTCACCACCACACACACAGCCCCCACCACACACACAACCCCCACCACCACACACAGCCCCCACCACACACAGCCCCCACCACACACACAGCCCCCACCCACACACACAGCCCCCACCCACACACAGCCCCCACCACACACACAGCCCCCACCCACACACACAGCCTCCACCACCACACATACAGCCCCCACCCACACACACAGCCCCCACCCACACACACACCATCTGTATGGACAGATCCTCACACTTACTGCCGCCCACCACCAAGCACTTGGAATGCTGCTGAAGTTGGTGCCGGGAACATCGTGTTCTACGGAGTGAATGAGGGCAGAGAAGGTGAAGATGCCCATAGCAATGAAGAGCAGGAGGCAGCACACTTGCTGGTAGCACTGGCGCAGGGTGAAGCCGAATGCCCGCAGGCCTGTGGAGTGGCGAGCCAGCTTCAAGATACGAAATATGCGGGTGAGACGGATAATTTTTAAAATCTGTCCAAGTTTTCCGACCCTTTCGACAGCCTCAATATCTTCATAATAATGCAACGCTCCTTCCTCAATGTAGTGCTCCAGGGCAAACTGGATATAAAACGGGAGAACAGCAAACAGGTCCATGGTGTTCAACACACTTTTCAAGAATTGCTTTATTTTTGGAGCAGAGAAAATTCGGAGTAAATATTCAACAGTGAAGAACACGATACAGATATTTTCCACCATTTCCATGTAAGTCTTGCCGCTGGGTCTCTGTATCTGGAGTTCCTGCACTGTGCTCAGTGTCATGGCCACAACCGAAATCAGAACAAAGAGACTGGATGTAATCGCCATGAGCTTTGCACTGATTGAAGAATAAGGATTTTTCATCAAATTCCAGACTTTTCTTCGGATTTCTCCAAGACACTGTTTTTGAAAAGTTTCTTCATGTTCCTCAAAATCCACTTCCGCTTGAAGTTCTTTCTGAATTTTAAGATATTCCTTCAGTTCATCTCGTTTCTCTTCAAATAGTATGCGGCAACAAGGCTGAGTGTACTTGATGTGAAGGCCCCAGTAACGGATTTCCTCCACAAAGTTCGTGGGACACGATTCATCCATGATCCACAAGGTGCCGCTTTGGTAGAAGTGAAAAATACTGTGGAATATCTGGGGATTGCGATCAAAGAAGTACTCGTTGGTTTGGACAGAATAATCATCGCACAATTCCAGTTTCCTCACAGGATCCTGCATTGTCGCAAGTTTCCCGATCCTGGTCTTTGGGAATTTCGCTGCGGCTTTGTGAACAATCTTAAAACAACTCCCTCCAACATTAATGTTCAGAAATTGGTGTTTATTCTGCAAGTTTTCAGTCTGTTCCTCATCAGGGCCCAAGTGGTGAGCAGAAGTCCACTGTTTGACTGAACTGTCCAAGGCAAATGGGATGTAATTTTCTTCTTCTTCAATACTTTGTGAAAAACTTGTAGTATCTCCGATTTTGAGATTGGCAAACAGACTAGATCGTCTCTTTTGCAGTTGCTTCATTTTGCTCAATTCCTGCAGCTTCTTGTGTGCAGCGGTAGCTCCGTCTGTTCTGGTCTAAATCAAGTTAAAAGTAAAAGAGGATTGTCTAAAGTTGATTAAAGGATTGCTTCCGGAAGACGCAAAGTCACAACCAACTGTTAAGAGATTAAAAGAATTAATGGATCAGAAGATGTAATCTTTTCTGTGACATAACTGGGTATGAACCATATTTGTCTAGTGTGATATTAAATGAAATATAGTTTAAACAAGGGTTTAATTTACCGTGTCAATTTATAGAATTCCTTATTAATTCCTCAGATTGGCACAAATAAACCTCAACTAAATGATATGGACCCAGGCAGCTCTGATCCAATGTCATCAATTTCCACGATAGCAACCAGGGGGAGAGACATTTTAATGTGTGGCTTATTAATCCCATTAACAAGTGCTGGAAATTAGACCCTTGTATTTATTTTAAAAATCATAGCAGTTGCTATGGAGCTCAACAACATGTCTCAGGATTTGTATATATATATATGACTGGATTTTGTATGTATCGTAGCAGCCAATTTGCACACAATGGGCCACAAACAGCCATTGAGTGACCGATGATTGTTGGTGTATTTTGTGGATGAACGGTCCAATGGAGTCCTTAACATGGAATCTGAACAGATGTGGTTGCAATTTAACATCTCACCTGAAAGATCATTCGGGGCTTCCCAAGCGCTGCATTGGAGTGTCAGACTGGGGTATGAGCTCAAAGTCCCGATATGTGGCTCGATCCATTCACATTTTCAAGACTGTTAGGTCAAGTTATTGAGGGATATGGGGCATGGGCGGGTAATTGGACTTGAGGTACAAATCAGCCATGATCCTACAGAACGGCAGAACAGGCTCGAGGGGCTGAATGGCCTACTCCCGTTTCTACATTTCTGTGATTCCACAAATGTCTGATTCACAGGTGAGAATGCTACCAATTGAGCCTAAGTAATAATAATATCTTACAATCTATGTAAATCTAATAATAATAATCCTTGCATTTTATATAGAGCCTTATCACATCTTCTGGATGTCTCAAAGCGCTTCACAGGATATGCTGAAAAGCTAATTGACTGTATGAAATGTTGAGTCTTTCAAACACAGATTAGATATTTTCTTTTAGGAAATAACATAATGGGATACAGTACATAGGGAGTTTGGGACATATGCGCAGGCGACAGCCAAGAAGGTGGAAGGTGAACTAGATGGACCTTGGTCTCTTTTTGTCTAGCATTTCTTGTTGTTATGTATATGTGTGGGGTGTCAAATGAGAAATTAGATTTTCCAAGTGAAACCACTTCATCCTCAAGGAAGGAAGATCTTGGCTGTGTCACTGGAGTGTGTCCAGCTAGCAAGGAAACACAAAGCCATCAGCTTGTTCACAAAGATGTGGTGGCAGCTCAGAGCAGAGTTCCATTCCAGGTTTCTCAGGCTGTTACACTTCATAACCCATTAACATGGACCAGGAAAAGATAGCATCAAAAACCAGGTGGGACACAGTCCACAAGCAATTCCATGGCAGCGCAGATATATTTTGGGATTTCTTCTTAACAAGAAAACTGCTCGGTACATGAGATGGAAGGCTTATTATTAATAAGAAGATTGGACAAGTTAATCCAGGGTTATTTATACCTGCCTGTTTTGTGTGGAAACTACATAATGTTCTCCCTCTTGAGTGCTGGGGACAATTACACATGTATGAAATTTTCCCAACTTCAAACTTGAGGAGCAGCTCGGGAGGCTGAGGGGTTCCTGGTCACTCACTCCAGGAGGTTAACCCCCACAGGCAGGAGACAGAGGAGGATGACTGTCCACGGGGGAAAGAAAAATAGAAAGGAGAGTGCAGGGAAAGTTGCCGTAGCAAACAGGTATCAGGCACTGAGTACCCGTGAGCAATGCTGTGTCACTGTGCAGCCAGTGGCTCCCAAAGGGGAAAGTGCAGGTCAGTCAGGGAAGTAACAGGAATCTCTGTAGCTGCAACCATGAATCCCGAATAGTGTCTTGCCTCCCAGGTGCCAGGGTGAGGGACATGATGGAGCAGGTGTAGAAGATTTTGGAGTGGGAAGGAGAGCAGCTAATCATCATGGTTCATGTAGGAACAAATGACATAGAAAAGAGTAGGTTTTGGGTTCTGTGGAGGGAGTTTGGGGATTGAGGAGATCGAGAGGCACAGGACTGTAGCCTCAGGATTGCTCCCTGTGCCTCAGCACAGTAACAGGGAGACACGTGGCTGGAACAGAGGGAAGGTGCAGGAGTTCGGGACATTGGGACCAGTTGTGGGGTGGGATCTGTACAGGGTGAGTGCCTGAGCAGGGCTGGGACCAATCTCTTTGCTGCGGGGGAAGGATTTAAACCAATATGGGGGCAGCAGCCGGGTGTGGGGAGAACGCACAAGATGAGGTAGAAATTAAAGAAAGCATAATGGAAAATATGTCAAAGGTTGTAGGGAAGGTAAAAAAGGAAGTCAGAGAACTAACAGGGAATAAACCAAGAGGGCGAGAGATTGTAAATGGCACTGAATTGCTCTGATGGCTCTGTAAGAGTATGGACACGATGGGCCAATTGGCCCTCTTCGGTGCTGTAAATTTCAATGGCTCTATTAGTGGGCGAGTCTTCACAGTTTATGGATTAAATCACACAGCTGAGGCTGTTCTGTTCATTTTTAATCTAAAAGGATAAATGCAAATGACTACATATAGGCTTCAATAATAGGAAACAACAACTTGGACTTATATAGCACCCTCCACGCCGGATGCCATCTCAAAGTGCTTTACAGTAACGGATCCCGGTGCCGAAACACAAGATAGAAGTTGCTAAGAGGGAAGCTGAGAGAGATCTAGGGGTGTTAGTTGACATGTCGCTCACTATGCCACATAGTGTGAGGCAGCAATAAACAAGACAAACAGGACGCTGGTTTATATTGATAAATCAGTTGCGTTCAGGTTCTCAGATGTCATTCAGGCTGTACAGTGCTTTAGCCGGAAGGCAATCCCCAACTGGAACAGGTGGTAGAGACCAGAACACTGGATTCATTTAATAATCAGCACCATGATGTGATGTGGGGCAGTAGGTGGGTGTGATGTGGGGCAGTAGCTGGGTGTGATGTGGGGCAGTAGGTGGGTGTGATGTGGGGCAGTAGATGGATGTGATGTGGGGCAGTAGGTGGGTGTGATGTGGGGCAGTAGGTGGGTGTGATGTGGGGCAGTAGATGGATGTGATGTCGGGCAGTAGGTGGGTGCTCTGGAGGGATGAGATTGGATGAGCCAAAGGGCCTTCTTCAACCAGACCGATCTTGTGCTGATCGGATCGATTTCAAGATCCTCACTCATTTTCAGATCCCTTCATGCTTTTGCATCTCCCTACGATCTGATCTGCTGTGGAGTCTTGTAGTTCAGTGGTGAGATCACTTGGCTCGCAAACGAGAGCACCTGGGTTAGATTCCCAGCAGGGTGAAATGTTCGGCAAGTCTTTTTTACTCCACACGCCTCTGTTTACTTCGCAGTAAATAGGAACTCAGTTGTTAATCGATTGGTGGATCGCTTTTCCGGAAACAAAATAATTTGGTCACTCAATCCACGACCGTTTGTAGGACGCTGCTGTGTGCAATTGACTGCCGCGTTTCGCCCACAAAATATACAGTCAATTCACTTTACATATATTCTGTGAAGCGCTTTGAGACGTCTCAAAGCTGTGATGAGGCACTGTATCAAATGCAAGGATTATTATTATTATTACACCCCACTCCTCCACCTGCCACCTCTGGTTTGGCCCTTGCGTCCTCTGTTCCACCATTGGTGGCCGTGCCTTCAGTCACTACACCCCGAAACTCGGGCACTCTCTCCTTCAATCCCTCCACCTTGCCCCCTCCCTCCCTCTCCCCTTTAAAATCCCACCTAAAGACCTTCCTTTTTGATTGTGCTTATGGTCACCTCCCCTCTCCCTCTGGTTCAGGGTCAGACTCTGCTACTGTCAAGTGCTCTGAGACGCTACCCCATGTGAAGGGCACTATATAAATCCAAGTTGTTGTTCTACCTATTGATTTATTTTGTGTTCTGCTTGACAGATTGACGACAGTTGTGAGCTATCACCACACATAGTGCTAGAAGCAATAATTAGATGTACAAGTGGCATCGGCATTCCATGTTTTGTTTTATGTAGTCAGTAGCTCTGACTAACGCTGGACAGTGATCTGCGAAGCCATGTGTCTGTGCTGACTAGAGGGGATTATCTGGAGCTTTAGTCATTAATTGTGTGGAGAAAGAATTGAGGTGACTGGAACTGATTTATTTTAAAGGAGGTGAGGAACAGCAGAAACAGATTAGATACAGTATGGAATTGACCTAAGGTGTTTAAGTGAGTTTTAAAAACCTTCATCAGATTATTCCCAATCCCCGAAGCCACAAACAGACGAGGGTGCAATTGGCTGCCGCATTTCACCCACAAAACATACAGTCAATCCACTTTACAGTACATTCTGTGAAGTGCTTTGAGACATCTCAATGACAGGCTGAGGCGCTGGATCAAATGCAATGATTATTATATTATTATTATTGTTGTTAGGCACAAAACAGGAAATAATCAACACCGAGTCTTTCCCGTGTCGAACTAATCACATTACATCATACCAGGTCATGGCTTCGAGTGGAAAGTCTATCTTCAACCTGCCATCCTGATCCAAAGTCGTAGAACGCGTCATTGCCACTCAGCTCCACTCACACCTTTCCCTGCTCGAGCCCCTCCAGGTCGGTTTGGACTGTGCCCTCATCAATCACCAATGACATCCTCTCTGACTCGGGCTCCCTCGAGGGTATAACCAACAGCAAAGACTGGCCTGTTTCTGTACTGTACAATCTATGTAAATCTAACAATAATAATCCTTGCATTTGATATAGCGCCTTATCACTTCTTCAAGACGTCTTAAAGCACTTCGCAGAATATACTATAAAGTGAATTGACTTTTATTTTGTGGGCAAAATGCAGCAGCCAATTGAGTGACCAAATTAAATGACTGATAGAAGGAGAAAGGCAAACGGAAAGAGACACACGCACTCACGCACACTCGCACAGTGAGAATCAGGGAAAGAGAGTCAACTGACTTTCAAGCACTGATCTGGGACTCTACTCTGCGTGAGGGGCGCTGTAAGTAGATTTGTCAAACAAACGGATTTAACAAATCCAAGCCAACGCTCTTAAATCAATTTGGTTTTTAGTATTATCCCGTATTATAACCTCTAAATGTTTGCCCACTCTGGATGTTAGGCTAAATTACTTGGCTGGACCCCTTTTCCTTTATAAACAAAGGCATTAAATCATCTGCCCTCCAGTCTCCTGGCACAACTTTTAAATCCAAAGATGTTCAAAAAATTGTAGACAGAACATCTACTATTTCTTCCCCAACTTCACTCAACGTTCTCAGATGTTGTGCAAGAATTAAGTAAATCCATTCAAGATACAGAAAATTTCCATGTGTGGAACTTGCTTAGTTTATATACATTTAAGCACGGTGATGGATTTCTGCATGTGTCAGACACCCAACTGGCAACATTCTCCTAACCTCTCTCTTTGTTTTTCCTTCTTTACCAACTCACTGACCAGTGAAAATAATTCTCCCCATTTATCAAAACTTTCTCTCAGGGCTCCTCTCAACGCTCTCTGTTCCAGTGAAAAAAAATTCTCTCCTCTCTCCTCAGTGAATCTTCTCCACACTGACATTATGTCTCTCTTCTGTACCGAACCTGGTGCAAAATGGGACACAATACGTTAATACAGCTTGTCTAACAATTTAGGAAGGTTTATTTAGCATTGCCTCTTTACTTCGGTTTTCTTGCCTTCCTTTATAAATCCAGGATCCCATCAGCTTTTGCTTTAAACATCTTTTGTCAACTTGCCTTCCCAGATTTGTGCCATTAACCCCCATTCTCCGCTCTTCCACTCCCTTTAAAATGTTAGAATTTAATCTTTATTTCCTTATTTCTCCTCTCACAATGCATCACTTCATTTTTTTTGTATACACACTGAATTATTGAATGTCATCTCCCAACTATCTCTGATCAGTTTGCATGCTCTTAAAGTTGCTTCCAGTGCTTCTCGCCAGGCTTCCTATGTTTAGATCATCCACGTGTTATATTATGTCTCTATATGCTAGTCCAGTTTATACACTAAGGTGGATCCTGAAACTTCCCTCCAGTCTGAAAAATATCCTTTAGCCTCGACTTTCTATTCTGTCCTTAACCAACTCTATCCTTGCTGCCAGATTGCCTTGAAGACCTTGCACCTTACACATACCGGAAGGTACAAATGTGAAAGATTAAGAAATTTAAGTGAAAAGTAGAACTGACTTTATATTCTGATTTCTGTATCTTACTGTTTAAATCCATTTATTTTAATGTCACAGAACAAATCAGCCACACCACACACCTTTCAAATAAATCAGAACATTAAAAATGTGAACATATAGCATGGAAACTTTTCAGTTTCTTTCTACAAAACAGCAAAAATCACAATTTCAGACACAATCTAAACAGGTGATAAAGAGGTGATAACAATTATTGCAACAGCCAATAATTACCTGAGTAACTCAGCTCTAACAAGGTTTAATTATTTGTTCACACAGAAACAAGTCAGTATGGGCAGGTCTGTCCTCTCCCAGCCCCCCTCCCAAACAGAGTAAGGCAAGTGGGTCAGGTCTTAAATACAATTGTTTCTTAGTTACTTGGTTGCTTGTGGTCGCTGACAAATAGAACAGAGCATTAAATGACAGGATGCAGATCCTAAAAATTAATATGAAAATCTAGTTACCGGAGGATACAATGATTTAATTGGTGCAATTGGGCTGCAAGACTGAGCTGCCAGGGGAGGGAAAGGTCCAGAGAAAGAACTGGGGTCAGAGGCCATCACTATAAAATCAGGATTTTAAATCAGGAAATTGAGGTATTGTTACAATATTGTTACAATGTTACAATTAAATTATCTAAATAAATATTTAATTATTTTTATGTTTGAAATTAGCAAAAACAAGTTTAAATAAAGCTTTAAACACAAATATATATGAAACATACATAATATATTTCAAGTGACTCAAGATCTCTGAATGAAAATGTTTCAATCTGCAGCACCATTGAAATTCAGAGATGCTACAAACTCCAGTGCGTTCAACCATGTCAGGACCAATACACATTTGCTTTCAGAGTGCTTTCCCTGAAATAACAGCCTCAACACTCCACCCCCCCACCCAAAAAAAATCCCCCACCATGTCTGAACATGTCCCCGTTCTCACTCTGTGTCCTATATCCAGTTTCCAGCTCAGGTCCGTGCGACAGAGAACCTGGTGAATTAACATAAAGGCTGATTGTAGAAACTCCACCAACTGAGATCAGCTAACGTACCCAGCCTGGAATGGAACTAGAGAATTTGCTTAGGAGTCATCACAGGAGCTCAGGTCTGACATAGTCTCTCACTGAACACAATGATCTGATAAAGTTACTCACATCATAAACTCTGCAGCAAGATGTAAAAGAGACAGCCATACTCTGAAGTCTTGTGCTGATTCAACAACAGGAAGGGATTCAGCTTTTAGCCACTGACTGAGAACTATTCACCTCCCCATCACCTCCTTCATTTGCGCATCTTTAACACAAATCTGCAGTGAAGCCTGGGTTACACCACACTACAGAACTGGCAGCAAATGGGGAGGTGGGAGATTATCATATATAAAAAGGATGGAGTGAGGAAAACAGTTTGTACCAAGGTTTAAATACATCTGACAGTGTCTGATGTATTTGACAGGGTCAGTGGGCTTCAGAGGCAGTTACTTATCTTTTCTGATGGACTTTGCACTGATGGACAAACCCTCTCCTCAAACAAAAATACTCTAGGCAATTAAATACATTAAAGTTTTACCAAAGCCCTGAATAACCTGATCTTTATGCTGGCAATTCAACAATTCAGCTTTCAGTCTCCCTGGGAAGCAAAAATATCAGTCCTGTCCATGGAGAATCCAGATCCTCCCCTGTGTTTCTATAGGAGCTCACTGTAAAGAGGAGACACAAAGGAGCAGATTCAATGAAAAGGAAGAAGACAGTCAGCGGCATTACATGATGGGCCAAACGGCCTCCTTCTGTGCTGTATAATTCTATGATTAGGTTTGGTGTCTCCAGACTGGGCCACATCACTATCGAACAGATCCACTTTGGTTAATGCTGCTGGAAATCTGTGGCACGGTCTAACCTTTATGGTCGCCCCATAAAATAAATTTTCTTGACTGATTTATGCTATAAATCAAGAAATATTCAATCAAGAAAAAAATGAAAACATGCTACAAATCAAACATTGAGTTACCAAGACTCGTGTGAATGTTCAGTGGAGGGATGGGGGTAGTTTGTGATGGCCCCATGGGGCACAGGTTGGCCATCAATCATCGATAAAGAATGATAGAACCAGCCCCGCCCACCCCAGCCAAAAATAATTAAATAATACTTTGATGTTCAACAATCTTACTGAAAAATATTTCCCCCGTCGTACCATCGATAACCTTTATAGTTTGCAACTGAACCTCTCTAACCTCGACTGCAATGAACTGTTTGGAAACTACAACCCCATTTAAACTTTTCAAACCTTGCCGATCTCCCCAGCTCCACCTCGCACAGGATCCAGCTGATCAAAAACTCCGCCACCCGCATACTCACCCACACTAAACTCCGTACTGTCAACACCCCAGTCCTTGCCAGGCTCCACTGGCTCCCTATCGCTGAATTCAAGATCCTCATCCTCACTTACAAGGCCATTCACGGCCTCGCTCCCTCCTACCTCTCCGACCTACTTACCTGCCCGTACCCTCCATTCCTCTGGCTCCGGTCTGTTCCACATCCCCCGCCCCAACCGCCCTACCATCGGTGGTCGGGCCTTCAGCCTCTCAGCCCCGAGGCTCTGGAACTCCATCCCCCAGTGCCTTCGCTGTTTCCTCCCTTTCCTCCTTCAAGGCCGGTCTCAAGACCTTTCTCTTTGACCGTGCCTTCAGCTCCCCTCTCGAATCTCTACCCCCTCCTCGCTCCCTCCCCTCACACCCTGACCATTTCCCCCCAATGCTCGGGTCCTGATCCAACTGTCCAGCACCTTGGGACGTCCTCCCGACGTGAAAGGCGCTCTATAAATAAAATCTTGTTGTTTTTGAACGGATCGATTTTAAGATCCTCACACTTGTTTTCAAATCCTTTCATGCCCTGGCACCTCCCTACCTCTCCCACCCGCTTACCCCCAACCCACAAACTGCTGCCTCCGCTCGACTGGTTCCAGCCTCCTGCTTGTCCCTCGTACCAACATTAGTGTTCAACCACTACGCCCCGAAACTCTGGAGCACTCTTCCTCTATCCCTCTGCCTTTCCCTTTCCTTCCCCTTCTTCAGATCACACCTGAAGACTTTCCTCTTCGACTGTGCCTACGGTCACTTTCCCCTCCCCCCGGCTCGGCATCGTGCACTGTCACTGTCAAGTGCTCCGGGACACTGCCCTGCATGAAAGGCATTATATAAACGCAAGTTGTTATTGAGAAATGTTAATTAGACAAAATGTACTGACCCAGTGCCCCAGATTACTTTTACACTGGTGTAAATTCTATGGACTTTTCTTCAACAACTTAACAGAAGTTTTCAGAATTATGAGGGGATTCGATAGAGTGAACAAGGAGAAACTATTCTCACTGGCGGGTGGGTCGGTAACCCGAGGACACCCATTTACAATAGTTGTTAAAAGAAACAGAGGGTTGGTGAGGAGAAATGTTTTCACACAGCGAGTTGTTGGGATCTGGAATGCATTGCCTGAAAGGCCGGTGGGAACCGATTTGATAACTTTTAAGAGAGAAGTATATAATTATTTGAAGAGGACAAGTTTGCAGGGCTATGGGGAAAGGGGGAGAGTGGGATTGATCAGGGCTATGGGGAGAGAGTGGGGAGAGTGGGGTTGATCAGGGCTATGGGGAGAGAGCGGGGGGAGTGGGGTTGATCAGGGCTATGGGGAGAGAGTGGGGTTGATCAGGGCTATGGGGAGAGAGCGGGGTTGATCAGGGCTATGGGAGAGAGTAGGGAGTGGAGTTGATTTGGAAGCTCTTTTCAAAGAGCGGCAGAGTCACGATGGGCCGAATGGCTCCTTATGTGCTGTATAGTTCTATGATTCCATGAAAGTTACCCTTTCCAAGCACCTCTGGACAAAGACATTTTTGCTCACACGCCCTTTAATTGTTTTTGTGCTCATCTTAAATCTGTGCCCTCCCATTACTAACTCACTGACCAGTGGAAACAATATTTTACTATTACCGTATCACAACCCTTCGTAATCTTGAATCTGCCAGGATTCATCTCAACTCCAGTTAATAAAATTCCTAACTTCTCACGGCTCTTGATAATACAATAGAAATTTATACAGCACTCTTTACGTTGGGACAACCGCCCAAGGTGCCGATAAGCTCCTCATTTCTGGTATTATTCTGGTGAATCTGCACTGTTTCTCTATCCTTTCTGTATCAGGATACTCAAAACTGTACACAACACAAATTGTGGCCTGAATTCAGCATTATCCTCTTTGTTTGCTATTCTATGCTTAAGCAATACCAAGAATTCAGTTTGCATTATCATGGCTTTATCAATCGAGAGTTTGCACCCAAGGTGGAAGTTGGATTCGGGAAGGGTGGAAGCCAAGGGAACGGAATAAAAGATGACCAAAGGCCATCAACAGGAAGATCTTGAGACGGACCTTGAAGGAGGCAAGGGGCGAGGTGAAGGGCTCCAGGGATGGAATGCCAGAGAGTGGGGGCAGCTGGATTGAAAGCTCAACTGCCGATGGTGTGGCGGGCAAGGCGGGGGACGCAAAGCAAACCAATACCCGCCCAGTGGATGGAATGGCCTGACTGGTAGGGTTTAAGAAGGTCGCAAAAATAGGATGAGGAAGACCATGGAGGGACTTAAGTGAGGATGAGAATCTTCAACTCAATCCTCTGGGGCATGGGGAGCCAGTGGAGCCGGGCAAGAATGGCTCACAAAGCTTAGTGTGGATGAGGACATGAGCTGCAGAGTTCTGGATAGTCTGCAGCTTGTGGAGGAAATAGTTAAGAGTTCTAGTGAGCTGAAAGTTGGCTGAAAGTCTTGCCAGATGTCCAACAGTCAGGACAGCAGTGATCCTGGAATTGAGGGTTGAGGTGGAGAGATCATAGAATCATAGAATTATACAGCACTGAAGGAGGCCATTAGGCCCATCGTGTCTGTATCGGCTCTTTGAAAGGAGCTTCCAAATCAACTCCCCTGCTCTCTCCGCATAGCCCTGCAAACTTGTCCTCCCCAAATATCTACCTACTACTCTCTTGAAAGTTGTTGTCAAATCGCCTTCCACCATGCTTTCAGGCAATGCATTCCAGATCCGAACAACTCGCTGTGTGAAAACATTTCTCCTCACCCCCCTCGGTTTCTTTTAATAATTATTTTACATCGGTGGTTACCGACCCAACAGTGGAAATAGTTTATCCTTGTTCACCCTATCGAATCCACTCATCATTTTGAAAACTTCCATTAAGTCTCCTCTGCTCCAAGGAGAATAACCCTCGCTTCTCTCGCCTCTCCTGATAACTGAAGTCCCTCATTCCTGGTACTATCCTGGTAAATCTCCTATTGGCAGACATGACATGGAGATGCTGAGATACAGTAAGAATTAAACCAGGAAAGGACAGAACAGTGAAGGTGGAGTTGAGACAAAAGTTGGTGGAGAAGGATAGAAAGGTCAACAGACACATTGAATTTGAGTAAACTTACTTCTGGGAAGAGCTGTCCATTGTGTATTCCTTACTGAGCCTCGTATTGGTGATGGGTTTAAGGTACACCGGGTACCAGCATCCCGATTGTTTGACACATCTGAGGATCACCCTCCAACACACAGCAGTGCAGCACATTAGGCTCACAGTCAAGCCCACTTCAAGTGAAGAGAAGAAACAAATGCGTAGAGAAGTGGATCTGTGAGGTATTTCTGTGTTTACAGTAAACTTTAAGAAAAGGAACCAGTGCCAAGATGGGCACAGCCCACACTGAGGTTCTAATTCTCTCCTATAGAAAGTGCAACTAGAGAACTTACCCACGAGAAGGAGAAGCCAGAGTGAAGTTTCCTCCAGAGCGTTCTGACCCGTATCCTGTCCTGGCCAGCCACTGGAATTTGTGCCTGGAAAGTTACACATGCTCCAGTTTATTCCAATTTGATAATTTAACCTTCAGTTTTGACATGTGATAACCAACCCTTTTACTAGGGATTTTATAACTTTGGAAAACGTGGTTGATTTAAAGTGACCTTCTCTACGATGCAGAATTATCATGGTCAGATAGATATCAACCTCACTTACCACTGCACTGAACAATCAGAATATTGAACAGGGGAAAGACTGGAAAGGCTGTGCGGTGAGAAAATAATATCTGGGGAAACAGTATATAGTTTGGGGCATGATATGTCAAACGATGCCAGGATGGTGGAAGGCGAACCAGATGGACATTGGTCTTCTTTCGCTAGCAAATTCTTATGTTTTTCCGTGAAATGCTCTGCTTGTCGGCCTTCCCAACTCCTCCCTCCACAGGCTGCAGATAATCCAGAACTAACTCTGCAGCCCGTGTCCTCTCCAGCACCAAACTTTGTGACCCCATCTCCCCCACTCCCGCCCGACTCCATTTGCTCCCTATCCTTCAGAGGATCCAGTTCAAGATCCTGGTCCTCATTACAAAGCCCTCCATGGCCTCACCCCACCCTACCTCTGCGACCTCCTAACCTCCTACCAACCTGCCCGCTCCCTCCGCTCAGCCGGCTCTGGCTGCTCCACGTCCCCCGACCCACCCGCCCCACCATTGGCGGGAGAGTCTTCAGCCACTCTGCCCCAACCACTGGAATTCCAATCACTCCCCAATCACTCCGCCTCGCCCCTTCCTTAGCCTCCTTCAAGTCCCGCTTCAAAACCCTCCTCTTTGACCATGCCATCGGCCACCCCCCCTCCCCTCCCTCCCTGACTCCAGCTCGGGTCTGAAATGCTGTACACTCCCAACGTGAAAGGCGCTATACAAATGTAATCTTGTTGTTGTGAGATGTGGCCTATTGGACTAAATAAATCTATATACAGCTCATCTTTGGCTATGAGACTAACTACAACATTATTAATTAATTACCACATCACTCACACAATATACAGTCAACTCACTTTGAGATGTTTCAACGACGTGATAAGGCGCTATATCAAATGCAAGGATTATTATTATCTTGCATTTATGTAGCACCCTTCACATTGGATTATGTCTCTGAATGCTTCAAAGACAGTGTCAGCTGGCAAGCAAAACAGGAGAGGGAAGTGACATTAGGTGCAGTCGAAAAGCTAGGTTTTCAGGTGGAATTTGAAGAAAGATAGCGACAGGGTAAGATGGAGGGATGGCGGGATGGAGGGAGGAGGAGGAATTGAAGGTTCGGTTATCGATGGTGGGGCGGAGGCCTGAAATTGCTGGGTGGGTGGTGGGGGTGGATGAGCAGAAGAACACTGATAGAAAGGTTCAGGTTGCAAAGGGATTTATAGGCAAGGGTAAGGACCTTGAAATCAATTCATCAGGAGACAGTGGAGCGTGGTGAGGACTGGCATGATGGGCGTGCAGTCTGATGAGGGATGTGCAGCAGGAGCTTGTGGAGAGCAACAAGGAGTGATGAGAAACTGAGTTGGGAGAGAAAGAGAAGAATTTGTGCAGAGCTGTATGTGAGATGGGGAAGCAAGCACTGTGGCAAAGATTAAGTGAAGCGATGTTGATCGCAGACTGAATGTGAGGAAGTAGAGCTGAGGAATAAACTGGGTCTCTGACGAAGGGTCGTGGACCTGAAACATTGACTCACTTTCCTTTCTCCATAGATGATGTCTGACCTGCTGAGTGTTCCCAGCGACCACTGTTTTTGTTTAGAGAGAGGCCAGTGAGGCTGAAGCAGTCAGAGCTGGGTGTGAGCAGACAATTAGGGAGCAGGATTGTGCAGTGCCACAGAGAGGTGGATGAGAGGGGAGATGTGATTGAAGACTGGTTGAAAATATAAAAAGCAGCAGAGATGTTGAGGAGGGCAAGAAGGCAGAGGGAGCCCTGTTTGCAGGTAGTGACTGTATTTTGTTGGCAAATATTACAATAGCAGAGTATTTATGAGACACACTTCAATGGATCTTTCTTCCTCTAAACATGGTTGTAATGGTATATCATAAAATATACTTACTACTTCCACATTTGTAGCCAGTGGCATCAAGCTTCATCCCATCTGGACACAGGCACGTGTACTTAGAGCCAACGTCAGTGTGAGGTGCAGGTACACACAGGTATTCACAGCTCGGGGATGCTGACACACACCAGTTCTTCCCTGTTACAAACAACGAGTACCTGAATACCGGCATCAAACATACTTTGCTGTCAAGGTAGGGACGTCCTCCTGACGTGAAAAGCGCTATATCAAATGCAAGGATTATTATTATTATTATTATTATTAGAAATTGTAGAAGAATTTCCACACCACGTTACAGCTTACAGTTCTCCTCTCTTTCAGCCAGCAAACTTCACCTTACTGATCCAGTAAATCTAGTTTTGTTGCAAGTTTTGTAGCGGTTTACCTCAATTCTTCCAGTATAAACCAACTCGTATATCACACTCCAATGACACTCACAGAGTTGAATATAAAAAGGCTCCTCTTACCATCTGGTTGCATGAACTTGTGAAAAACAGCTATGCCTCGTGGTTCGGTCAGGTTCCAAGCCAGGGCAGTCAGACCAGCTCCTGTGAACTTGTTTGCGCTATACACAGCTTTGTTGGTCTGTTCAGTCCAATACACACGGTCCTGTGGCATATGCACATGTTTAGCATTCTCATTTAACAGGGCAATTTTGTTATCTATCAACCCAAAAACATTTATACACATTTATATGAGGCTTAAGTTTGCAGGGCTGTGGGGAGAGTGCGGGGGAGTGGGATTGATTTGGAAGCTCTTTTCAAAGAGCCAGCACAGACACAATGGGCCGAATGGCCTCCTTCTGTGCTGTATATTTCTATGATAAAGTGTCTTTCACATTGGGAGGACATCTCAAAGTGCTCAATAATGCTGGATGGGCAACTGAGCTGGGGGTAGTTCAGTCAACACTGTGGCTGTTCTGGAGTTGGCAAAGTCTATCAATAATGGCAAATAACTGCAATCTATCATCATAGACTAGAACCATAGAATATTCCAGCACAGAAGGAGGCCATTTGGCCCATTGTGCCAGCTCTTTGGAAGAGCTACCCAATCAGTCCCACTCACCCGCTCTTTCCCCAGACAACACTGTGTAAAAAAATTCTCATCTCCCCTCTGGTTCTTTTGCCAATTATTTTAAATCTATGTGCCCTGGTTAACCGACCCACCCGCCAGTGGAAACAGTTTCTCCCTCTCTACTCTAACAAAATCCCTCATCATTTTGAACACCTCTTTTAAATCTCTTAACATTCTCTGCTCTAAGGAGAACAATCTTTATCAGGAGCAGAATATCTGGGAGGGCGTAACATTTATATGGATTTTCAGAAATAATTTAATGAAGTGCTACATAAATAATTAATAGCTAAGATTAGGGCACATGGAGCTGACACAGTGTGTCATCAACAACAACAACAACAAAATTACATTTATAGAGCGCCTTTCACTTCGGGAGGACGTTCCAAAGCGTCATGGGACCTTTTCTGATTGTTGGGCAGGGTTTGGTATTGAGGTCCAGCTCTATACATCAACTTCTGGATACAGGAATTGAGGGGATTATTTCTCAGTTTTATGGATGACACTAAGATTTTTTTTGTACTCTGTGAAGAGGAATAAGTTATTAATAAATTACATTTGATAGAACGCTCTCACGTCGGGAAGACTTATCAAACGCGATTCACAAGATAAAGCAGCAGCAAGTTGTACTGATGTACTGAATGAGTACTTTGCATCTGTCTTCATGCTTTAATCTTTCAGAGTTTTTTGAAAATGTATCTAGCAGGTTAGATAGGGGGGAACCAGTAGATGTAGTGTATTTAGATTTTAAAAAGGTATTTGACAAAGTGCCACACAAAAGGCTATTGCACAAGGTTAAGGCCCACGGGATTAATGGGAACATATTAGCACGGATTGAAGAGTGGCTAACGGGTAGAAAACAGAGAGTAGGGATAAACGGGTCATTCTCGAATTGGCAGGAGGTGACTAGTGGAGTGCCACAAGGATCAGTGTTTGGGCCTCAGCTATTTACAATTTACATCAATGATCTCGACGAGGACATTGAATGTAACTTATCTAAATTCGTGAATGACACTAAACTCGGTGGGAGAGTAAGCTCTGAGGATGATGCAAAAAGATTGCACCGGGATATAGATAGGCTCGGGGAGTGGGCGAGTAGGTGGCAGATGGAATTTAATGTGAGGAAGTGTGAAGTTATTCACCGAGGTAGAAAAAATAGAAAAACAGATTAGTTTCTAGAGGGGGAGAGATTAGATAGTGTTAGTTTCAGAGGGATTTGGGTGTCCTTGTACACCAGTCTCAAAAAGTTAGTTTGCAGGTGCAGTAGCAACTGAGAAGGCGAACGGCAGTTAGTGTTCATTGCAAAAGGCTTAGAGTACAAGAGTAGGGAAGTCTCGCTGCAACTGTATAGGGCTTTGGTGAGACCGCACCGAGAGTATTGTGTGCAGTTTTGGTCCTTATTTAAAAAAGGACATACTTGCCCTCGAGGGGTGCAGCGTAGATTCACTCGGTTAGTTCCTGGGATGAGGGGACTGACCTATGAGGAGAGGCTGAATAAACTGGGGCTGTATTCTCGAGAGTATAGAAGAATTAGGGGGGATCTTATTGAAACCTATAAGATTCTATGAATTTATGGAATTCACTCCCCCAGAAGGATGTAGATGTCAGTCCTTGAACATCTTCAAGGCTGAGACTGATAGATTTTTTAAAAATAGAGGGATTAGGGGATATGGGGATAGGGCAGGTAATTAGAAATTAGGTCTGAAGATCAGCCATGATCTTATCGAATGGCGGGGCAGGGCTCGAGGGGCCGAATGGCCTACTCCTGCTCCTAATTCTTATGTTCTTAAGAAGTAGATGCACCAAATGCCACAGTATCGGAGGAGAGGGCAGAGGAAATGGATAGGATAAGTGTAAACAGAGAGGAAGTACTGAAAAGGTTGACTGGGCTCAAGGTAGATAACTCGCCCGGTCCGGATGGGATGCAGCCAGGGGTAGTATGGGAGACACGGGTACAAATAGCGGAGGCTTTGGCTACAATTTTTCAATCTTCATTGGACACAGGAGTGGTGCCGGAGGACTGGAGAGTGGCCAATGTGACTCTCCTGTACAAAAGAGGACAGAAGGACAAACCTGGGAACTACAGACCAGTACAGCCTAACATCAGTAGTGGGGAAACTCCTGGAGACTATAAACCGGGACAGAATATATCTTCACTTAGAAGAATATGGGTTAATTAGGGACCGCCGTACGGATTTGTTAAAGTCAAATCTTGTCTAACAAATCTAATAGAATTTTTCGATGAGGTAAAGGAGAGGGTGGATACAGGGAGTGCAGTTGGTGTAGTTTATATAGACTTTCAAAAGGCATTTGACAAAATGCCACATGAAAGACTTGTAAGAAAGATAGAAGCCCGTGGTATAAAAGGGACAGTGGCAGCGGATCCAGAACTGGCCGGGAGACAGAAAGCAGAGAGTTGTGGTGAACGGCTGCTTTTCTGACTGGAGGGAAGTGTACAGTGGCGTTCCCCAGGGATCGGTATTAGGACCACTGCTCTTCTTAATATACCTAAATGATCTGGACTTGGGTACAGCAAGTACCATTTCCAAGTTTGCAGACGACACAAAGTTGGGTAGGGGAGTAAACAGTGAGAAGGATAGGAGCCGACTGCAGGAAGACATAGACAGAATGGTAAAATGGGCGACACATGGCAGATGAGTGTCAATGTGGAGAAATGCGAAGTAATGCATTTTGGAAGAAAGAATGAGGGGAGCAATATAGGCTGATAATACAATCTTAAGGGGGGGGTAAAAGAACAGAGAGACCTGGGGGTGCAGGTAAATGAATCTTTGAAGGTGTCAGGACAGGTAGATAAAGCTGTAAAAAGGGCATATGGGATACTGGGCTTTACAAATAGGGGCATAGAGTACAAGAGTCAGGAGGTTATGATTAACCCATATAAACACTGGTTAGGCCTCAGTTAGAATACTGTGCCCAGTTCTGGGCACCACACTATAGGAAGGATGTTAAGGCATTGGAAAGGGCGCAGAGGAGATTCACGAGGATGGTACCAGCAATGAGGGACCGTGATTATGAGGAAAGGCTGGAGAGGTGAGGATTATTCTCATTGGAGCAGAGAAGGTTACGGAGGAGACCTAATAGAGGTCTTCAAAATCGTGAGGGGATTTGATAGGTTAGAGAGGGAGAAACTGTGTCCACTGGTGGGTGTGTCGGTGACTCGAGGTCACAGATTTAAAATAGTCTCTAAAAGAAACCGAGAGGAGGCGAGAGGAAATTTTTTTACGCAGCGAGTTGTTCGAATCTGGAAACATTGCCTGAAAGGGCGGTCGACGCCGATTGGATAACTACTTTTAAAAACGCGGTGGACGGGTATTTGAGGAGGACGGGTTTGGAGGGTTATGGGGAAAGGGCCGGGGAGTGGGATTGACAATACATTGCTCTTTTCAAAGAGCCGCACAAACTCGATGGGCCGTATGGTCTCTTTTTGTGCTGTACAATTCTATGAAGTTACTGTACTGACTGTATTTTGGAGGCAAATATGGCTGCCAATATGCACACAGCCATGTCCTAGAAATAGCGATGTAATGAATGACTAATTTTATTTGAGGGATCGTTGGCTAGGACACCAGGAGAAATTCCCTTCTCTTTTTGAATAGTGCAATGGGAACTTTTAATGCCCACCTGAACAGGCCTTGGTTTTATATCTCAACCAACAGAACAGGAGCATTTCTTCACACAGGTTTGTGAAAATGTTTTCTAGCACTAAAGGCAACTACTGTGGGCCTCAAACAATGCAACTTACCTCAAATACTGCCAGACCAAACGGGTTAGCCAGATGTTTCTCAGAATGAAAGACTCTCGTACTCTGACGTCCGTTTAAATCCGTGTATAACAATTCATTCAAGTCTGATTCCACCCAGTAAAGGCGTCTTTTAATAGTGTCTGAAAGTGAGATACAATCTCAGCATTACATAGCTGCCAACCTAGCAGAAAAAAGTAGATGTTCAGCAAAAAAAGCTGTAAATTTGTTTAAAAATAGCAGTAGATTGTTTAACGGGAGAAATTTGATCCTGGTTTAGTCTCCCTCTAAAAGCAAATCTCAGAGGCAAAGATCAGATTTCCTGTAAGCAAATAATTCAAACAATGTTTGTGACTAAAAACTTTACGATAATTAAAAAACAGATTATTCAATCCTTTACTGATTTGTACCCAAAACATATATGATTATAAACTACAGTATAACATTAAAAAAGTCAAACACATAATATGCTTTTAATGCACTCATTCTGGTTTCAGCTTGAAATTACAGCAAGTGCTCTCAGCATCCTTCAGACATTGCATGGTTGGTCTATAGCCAGTACAGCAGCCAGCTTTATTTATTTTCATACTCAAAAGAACACAAAGTACCGAAATAATAATCCTTGCATTTGATATAGCGCTTTTCATGTATTCTAGACGTCTCAAAGCGCTTCATACTGTGAAGTGAATTGACTGTATATTTGTGAGCGAAACGTGGCAGCCAATTGTGCACAGCACCGTCCCACAAACAATCATGGATTGAAGTGACCAATTTTTTTTTATTCTTGAGAGATTATCAGGCCTGTGGTGTAAGGAAACTTGTCCAAGGTTTTGCCCTGCCGGGACCTAGGTCTCTTACTTGCGAGGCGAGTGCTCTAACCACTGAGCTACAGGACTCTCCTACAATAATTTCACAACGACAACTACTACAACAATATCACCTCTGATGATAAGACAATTCACTCAGCTGTTAACTGAAATATTGCAGTCCTTTATTTTTCCAAGGGAAGAAAGCCTTCATGTTGTCTACCTCAGTTGGACAGAAAAATTTGTATGTGTCTCAGAAATTGTCTGGAATCGAAATCACCCCTTAGTTGTGCGAGCAGAATCCTGGGTATATCAAAGGGCAAATGTTGCTTGACAATATTGACAGGAACAAAGAATGCCAGTATTTTACACAAGATTTAATGTATCTGGATACAACTGATGAATCATCCTTGGACTGGAAACAATACTGAAGCCATTCAAAGGCTTCAACGAGAACCTTAGGAACAACAAGTATGATTTTGTTTCATCTGACTGCCTTGTTTCACTCTACCTCTGTCTTCTGCTTCCTTATCTGAGGCAGAATAAGACTTTAAAGCATCCCACTGTTCAAGAACTCAGACAACTACTCAACTCATAGACAGCCATTGTGTGGGCCAGCTCTTCAATACATTCTTGCTGTCTGTTTCAGTGAAAAGCTGAAATAATGTGAACATTTCCTTTCGCTTTGCACGCATAGAATAAAATCATAGAATTATACAGCACAGGAGGAGACCATTCGTGCCTGTGCCTGGTCTTTGAAAAAGCTGTACAAATTGATCCCGCTCCCCCGCGCTCTCCCCATAGCCTTGCAAATTTGTCCTCCCCAAATATCTATCCACTTGTCTCTTGAAAGTTATCATCGAATCAGCTTCCATCACCCTTTTATGCAATGTATTCCAGATCCGAATAACTCGCTGTTTGAAAAAAATTCTCCTCCCCTCCCCTCTGGTTCTTTGAACAACTATTTTAAATATGGAAATCCTCAGCCCCGCCCATTCAAATCGCAGTTGAGCCCCACCCTGTGCATGTACATTCACCTTGCAATGAAAAAAAATTAGCGAGATCTCGGTCCCCACAGACCAGTTGATGTGCCTAAAAATCTGTGTCTATGGGGAAAACCCACAGAGATGGCAGATACGTGTAGTCCTGTAGCTCAGTGGTTAGAGCACTCGCTTTGCAAGCGAGAGACCTGAGTTCAATTCCAGGCAGAGGGCGAAACCTTGGGCAAGTTTCCTTACTCCACACAGAGCCTAATAATAATCCCTCCAAAACCAAAAACAATAATAAATTGGTCATTTTCAACCCATGACTGTTTGTGGGACATTGCTGTGCGCAATTGGCTGCCGCGTTCGCCCACAAATATTCACTTTACAGTGTGTTCTGTGAAGCGCTTTGGGACGTCTAGAAGACGTGAAAAGCGCTATATCAAATGCAAGGATTATTATTATATCGCATTACTGCTCAAGATCTCCACATAATGGAGTCCTGTAGTGTAGTGGTTAGAGCAAGCGAGTGGACCTGGGTTTGGTTCCTGGGTGGGGCAAAAGGTTGGGCAGGTTTCCTTACTCCACACGCCTTTGTTTACCTAGCAGTAAGTAGGAACCCGGTTGTTAGTAGAATGGCAGATCGCTTTTCCAGGAATAATAATCCCCCCTCAAAATAATTTGGTCACTCAATCCACAACTGTTTGTGGGACGCTGCTGTGCACAATTGGCTGCCATGTTTTGCCCATAAAGTCAATTCACTTTATTGTATAACCTGTGAAGCGCTTTGAGATGTCTCGAAGGCGTGATAAGGCACAATATCATATGCAAGGATTATTATTATTATAATACTTTATAGTTTCAATGCTACAGTAGTGGATTCTTGTCCCACAGTGCTGTAGTATGATTCATGGTGTGCCCTCGCCACAGGTATTGAGTACTTCATAATCATCACTTATTGCTATCTCATACACCAGTGATATCAATGGCCTCCCATTGGAGACAATGGGAAAAGCAGCAAGTCAGTTGGTTACATTCCTAATAAAGGAACTTGCATTGTTGAGATCCTTCACACAAGTAAAATCAATCAAGAGCTCAGTGGCTATTGTGGTCATTAGTTATTAAAATGCTGTCCTGCCTGATCACCAACAAGGTCCACAATCACATTAGAAGCAAAATGACTTCTTGCCTCTCTGACATTGAAGCAGATATGCTTCCAGTATAATAAGGGGAAAACTACTGCAGGTGCTGGAAATCTGAAATAAAAACAGAAGTCTCTGGGAACACTCAGCAGGTCAGGCAGCATCTATGGAGAGAGGAAAATGAACCAATGACCTTTGGTCATCGACCTGAAACGTTAACTCACTTTCTCTCTCTCCACAGATGCTGCCTGACCTGCTGAGTGTTCCCAGCGACGTCTGTTTTTATTTGCTTGCAGTATTACTTGATCTTACCTAGTGCAATCCCAGCAGGTTTTTCCACACCAATATTAACCAGGATCCTCCTACCAACTCCATTCATTCCAGCCTTTTCAATTTTGGTTGGTTTTCCCACATCAGACCAGTATAGAAACCTATTAAAGGAAATGTCAATTTAGTGAAACTCAAACAGCTAAAAATACCCACATATGCAGTATATGAAGCCAGTTTTATACCAACATCTGGTGTTGAAGGGCTTAAGTAGTTCAACAAAATGCAAATATATGTCCCTAGCGTTAGACACCTGACAATACCCAAGAAATGTGGTTCTCTGTATTTCCAATCAGCAAGTCTGTAGTTTTCATAACAGATACAATATTAAATCCAGTTAAATGAATACATCACTGCAAAGTGTTACTTTTGTGTGTATTTTATGATTGCTAGGGTTTAAATTGGTTCTGAGGAAACAAGTCGAGAATATTCACCAAGTCTGGTCAGATTAATGTTCCCCAGCTCAGGCTTTCCATCTCTAGCTCCCAACAACAACAACATATTACATTTGTACAGCGCCTTTCACATCGGGAGGATGTCCCAATGTGTTGGAATGGCTTAAGATACATTTTGAGAGCAGGAACCAGTGTGGTTCAGAAGGTAATCCGAAAAGAGCTTTCAACATCCCTAAAGCCTATGTAGGCAGAAAAGAATACAAAACATTAAAAGTAGTTAAGCCCTCAATAATAATATAATAATCCTTGTATTTGATATAGCGCTTTTCACATCTTCTCAACGTCTCAAGGCGCTTCACAGAATATGCTGTAAAGTGAATTGACTGTATATTTGTGGGCGAACGCGTCAGCCAATTGCGCACAGCAATGTCCCACAAACAGTCGTGGATTGAAAATGACCAATTTATTATTGTTCTGTTTTGGAGGGATTATTATTAGACGGTGGAAGTAAGGAAACTTGCCTAAGGTTTCACCCTGCCTGGAATTGAACCCAGGTGTCTCACTTGCAAGGCGAGTGCTTGAACCACTGAGCTACAGGACTCCAATCTATGGTTTATATACAAAGTATTATTGTCATATGATCTGAATTCACAAATGAGTGGCCACTTAAACATAGTCTGCCGGCACGACCAGACGTGGAAACAGAGAATAAGGAATGTGAGAACCTGCCAGCTGGTGAGGGTGGCTGCTAGTGAGTTTTTTAAAAAAAAACTAAATGCGGGCGGAAAGGAGTTAATCCTACATAATCTCCAATTAGTCCAATCTTGTGAGCCTATGAATAACAGCAAATTCAGACTGGATTGTAAATCGTGGTAGGATTGGGCGTTAGTGACTTGGCAATGCTTACTGCGTCTTGTTCTACCTTGGGTTGGACATAAAACATGAAAATGTACAGGACCAGAAACAAACCATCATTTCCAAGGTAAAATAATGATGTTGTGGGTGAGTTTATGCCAGTGCAGCTACTGCTCATATTGACAAGTACAATAGGGTGGTATTCACTTAGACGAGTTTGAAACCAGGATATTATATGACCATCCCTGCAACATGTTAAACAGAACTTTTAAGGGTTTGATTTGAAACATTGGCTGCCCCAGTCCCCCACTGATCCACTCTAATGTTTTATTTCAACACAGACTTGCTTTGGGATTACTGACAACTGCAAATCCACAAAGTAGTAGAAAACACTATAATATTCTGATCACCACAAAACTAAAAAGAACAGTGGTGATGCCAAACACACAATCCTTGCTGATTGCATTCAGCAACGGCAAGGTTTGTGTGTGCGTGCTGGGCTGTGTTTGTCCAAACAAACAGCGATTACTGAGAGCTAAACCCAGGGCAAGTTCATGTCTCGCAAGGCATTACGATCCTGCCCAACAGGTGCAATGAGGTTTGTTCCCACTTGAAACCTGAGGAGCTGCATATGAGCTAAATAAAGCAGGTTGGTGTAAATTTGCTGAGTAGCAATCTGAAGATATGTTGTGATCGAATGCTGCTGAGTGATTTGACATCAGCTGGGACAGCAGTTAGAGCTACAATTGTCCCCATCATTCCTAAATTGGGCTGGTAGGGGGAGAAAAAGTTAGCCGGAGTTTCTGCTCCAGTGTTATCCAGAAACCCACTGCTGGAAGTGTTTGTTTGGGTATAGATTGAGGACAAGAACTGAAATGTTGCTGCAGTTGAACTGTCCATGAATAACAACCATTTAGGTGAGATACCACAGAGCATCTATCTGCCCGCATCATGGATACATTCCCCTCCCCCACCCAGTACAAGGATAAAACAACAACAGCAGCAACAAAATTACAGATGTATAGCGCTTTTCACATTCGGAGGACATCCCTAGATGTTTCGGACCCGAGTTGAGGGCAGGGGGGAAGCAGGGAGATCGAAAGCACGGTCGAAGAGGAGAGTCTTGTGGTAGGTCTTGAAGGTGGCGAGGGAGGGGCTGAGACAGAGGGACTGCGGGATGGAGTTCTAGAAGGTGGGGGCAGAGTGGCTGATGGCCCGCCCGCCAATAGTGGGGTGAGCGAGGCAGGGGGCATAAAGCAGGCCGGAGCCCGCTAAGTGGAGGGAGTGGGCAGGTTGGTAGGGGGTTAGGAGGTCGCAGAAGTAGAGTGGGGCGAGGCAATGGAGGGCTTTGAAGATGAGGACCAGGATCTTGAACTGTATCCTCTGTGTGATGGCGAGACAGTGGAGTCGGGCGAGGACGGGGGTGATAGGTCGCACAGCCTGGTGGGGGAGAGGAAACGGACTGCAGAATTCTGGATGATCTGCAGCTGTGGAGGGAGGAGTTGGGGAGGCCGACAAGCAAGGAGTTTGCATAGTCGAGCCTCGATGTAATGAAGGCATGTACGACGGTTTCGGTGGGCTGGGGTGTGAGGCAGTGGTGGAGCCTGGAGATGTTGCGGAGGTGGAGGAAGGCAGATCGGGTCATGGCGCAGATGTGAGGTAGAAAAGATAGTTGAGAGTCAAATAAGACCCCACGGTTCCACACTGGCTTAGCAAGGTGGAGTGTACAACCATTAATAATAATAATCCTTGCATTTGATATAGCGCTTTTCGCGTCTTCTCGATGTCCCAAAGCGCTTCACAGAATAGACTGTAAAGTGAATTGACTATATATTTGTGGGCGAAACGCAGCAGTCAATTGTGAACAGCAATGTCCCACAAACAGTCATGGATTGAAAATGACCAATTTATTATTGTTTTGTTTTTTGGAGGGAGTATTATTAGGCGTCATCAGTGCCTGAGGTGAGGAGGCGCTGACGGGAGCTAATCAGGAGAGCCTCAGTCTTCTTGATGTTGGTCAACTGAAGAAAATTAACTCTCATCCAGGACTTGATATCTGACAGACATTCTGTCAGCACAGCAGTGGCCCTGGAATCAAGGGTGGAGGCAGAGAGGTACAGTTGGATGTCATCTGCATATGGAAGTTGACCCCATATCTGCCGATGATATCACCAAGAGGGATGTTGGGATATAGAGGTCTCCCTATAAACTTTTTAGAGTAGAGTAAGATTTTATATGCATATATATATCCTCCATTTTGTAAGAAGGATTGTACTAACACAAGTTGAAATAGCCGCCAATTAACTTTCTTACAAAAAAGGAGTGTGGCACAGGCTTGAACCACGGTATCCCTTATCTCCCCACTCTCCAGATGCACATTCCTAAGTGTTATTGTGACCTTGGGTACCAGCTAGAACTGGAGTAAAAAGGGCCTGCAAAACATCATGTGCCAGGCCTAGAGAGATAAGGGTAAACCACTCAAAGAAGGTCTCAAGGCCGGTTCTGAAATAACATCTTTAATCCCAACTCTGACAGGACAATGGATATTCACCAAATCAATAGCGATCAGGCTGGCGCCAGGCCAATGATTGATTGGGATGAGTATGTGCAGAACGAGTTGTAAGAGGGGGGAAGTTATCTTACAAGGGTCCAAAAAAAAGTATAACTGGTCAGGGGGCGAGAGAGTTGGGTTAGTTCCAGCTGGCAAGAGAAAGAGAGAGAGAGCCGGGCAGCAAGACCAAGACAAGCACTTGATGGCATCCACGGACTCTCCCCTTCTGTTCTACGTTGATTAACTGGTAGTACGCTTTCTTTTATACATTTTTAAGCTCACTATCTTATAATAAAAGAATTATTGCACCACTTTGGATTGTCAGGTCATATTTCGGAATCCTCGGGATCGGTATATCCCAACAAATTGGTGACCACGAAGGGACCTGACAGGCAATAAGGCTTTTTTTATTTGAGTGATAGACAAACACACCCACACATAGTACACCTAGTAGATCACACCATTTTCTTTTGCCTGTACACCGGACGTCTGTGTATTGATATGGCAGAAGGAAAAGAGCGAAAAATTGAAAGATAGTTTTCGGCAATAAATAAATACGAGGAGAAAATATGTAAAAAAAACAGGCCTAAAGCTAGAGGATATACGTGAGGAAACAAACCAGAATAATGGTGTAGAATGGTTAGAAGAAGTATCAGCCGGCAACATCAAAGTTGGGGGAAAAAGATGTAAAAACTTTTTCAAATACTGGATTTTGAGGGAATACAAGTGTAAAGCCTTTGAGTTAAAACGATTACAAGACAGTAAGGATAAGGAGGTAGAGGATCTGAAAATTAAGGCAGAACAGCTCAGAGAGGTGATGACAGAAATACAAAAGGGTTTAAAGACCATTTTATTAGACAAAAAGGATATAGAAGAATTGTGGAGCGTAGAAGGAGCATGCAAGAACCAGGAAAGGAAGATAATAGAACTGACCTCCACCCTACACATGCTACAAGGTGAAATTAGCCGAGCTAAGCTGGAGAGGGAACAGCATGAGGAAAGAAGGATAGCATTGCAAGATTGTAAAAAAAGAGATGTGAAGTCAAAAGCATAGAGCTGAATGCAGCCAAAGGTGTGGTAAAAACCTTAATGAAACAACCGCAGAGTGAGGAAACTGACCATAGCTACTGTGAAAAGGTGATAGATAAATTAAGGGGAAAGTTGAGATCGAAACAAGTGATGGTGTGTGCTATTATAGGGGAGGAGTTCACGGTTGGAGGAGAAACTAACAAGGATAAAACTAGCTGTGCATGTCCTGACAGCTCAGATAAGTAAGAAAGTTATGAGTCAGAGAAGTCAGTTG